TCCTCAGGCACACTGCCTGAATGACTGCTTTTGCCTGTAGCAAACTAAATCTTTGTTTTGACCCACTTACACTTGTCAGATTTTGATAAAATTTAGCTTTTTGGAAAGCCTATGACATAAGGAAACGGATTGCACAAGTTTTGCGAAAAAAATTGCAAATTTTTTGCAAACAACCTGTCAAAGGAAATTTGCACATTTTTAGTTTTTCTTGATTAAAAATCAGGTCATTTAAAATTTTGCAAAATTTTTTGCATATTTGAAATGGCATGATCAAGGGCTTTTCAAAAATGTATAAGTTTTCATTTTTTGGACAAATTTTTTTTTGCAAACATTTTTACTACATAACTGGATTTTGCGATAAAAAAATCAATTTTTGCAAATTTGCAAATTTTTTTCAAGATTCTAAAAGTAGAGCACAAGAGCTTTCTAATGATGTATCATTTGTCATATTTGGACATAAAAAATGGGATTTAGAGGGGGCCCCCGGCATATCCTGGTTGTCAAGTACCCCAGCAGGGATAGGGTTAATACTGTGGCTTACTTAATGAATTCACAAAGAAAAGAAATAAGACTTTAGTTGCAGGAAATCATGAATATCAGAAAACAGACAGTGTAAATTCCGTACAGTCGTCGCTGAAGTAGCATCCGTTCTGTGTACACCTGTATATATTCAATTCCCATCATCAATCAGAACTTTTATTTTATTTCAAATGTTTTAGTATTTTTTGCGTTTATACTTTTTATACATTATAATAGAATAACAATTAAGCCATCATTACTATCATCTTGAATTAGAGTTTTTCGATTTTCAGTAAAGTTTCAAATTCCTAAAATTATTCGGCGTGGATACATTAAAACTTTATTCTTTGTTCAGTTTTACAAAAACTTTGATATTTTAAAAATTTAAACGTTTCTAGAAAATTTCAACATAGAATTCAAGAAATTTTGAATGTAGAAGAGTGGTAATATAGTGATACGGTGGTAACCAGAATCCTGTGGATGATTTGTTATTATTAGTATAGTTGATTGTTACATAGTATAAAATCTTTTGTAACAGAACATTCAAATATGGCATGAAGAAGACGAGCATTATTCCACAGTTTTACGGTCATCACTGTATGAATGATAACTTTTTTTGAAATAAAGAAAATGAGTTTTTGCCACAAACTCAAATTTTTTAATCCATATATCTCTGCAACTGGTTGGTGTAAACCTTTGATATTTCAAACTTGGATCATTTTATCTAACATAATTCATAGTTTAAAATATCAAAGGTGGGTTGAAAATATATGGGATTAGAATACCAGAGTTTGTTACAAAGACTCAATTCCTTTATAAAAAAGGTTTTTTTTCTCAGTCATAAGTATTGAGTAAAGAGCATTTAAAGTAATGAAATATAAACCTAAAAAAATGTTAAAAAATGTTATCTCCTTAAGAACTGTTTAGGTTTAGAGCTAACGAGCGGATTAAAAATAGAGTAAAATAGAAAATAGTCAGTATCCAGAGAGATTTTCTGAGTAAGGCCCNCCCCGATAAAGAATGTATTTAGAATTTTATGTTTTTTGAAAACTGAATATGTTCACGTTAATACGTTCCGATTGCTAAGTCTATGTTTGTACATAAACAAAGTGTGTTCATTAAGGTTTTCTTTGTGGCGTCAAATCCATTTATTTTAAATTTCAATATATCATCACAGTAAATTTTCTTGCCCGCTAATGTCGATCAAGTGGTTTGTTGAACGCTATTATTATGTTCCTCGCGGAGCCTTTTTACGTTGTATACACACTACACAGCCTAATTATCTCATCTGTTGACTTAAACTTAACCAATTTAAGCGTGTTTTAGAGGTTTGGTTATTACAAATTAGATGCTTAACAGGAAAAATTATAAAGAGAAAATGAAAGGGGGTATAGGATAAAACCTGAGAATCTGAGGGTTTAAACGATACTTATAATATATCTATCTTATGTTCCTGTCTCGAGAAATTGACATAAAACTGTGTCAAAATTCTACCAAAACGGACATTATAATTGATAATATTATTACATATAGTCGTATAGTCCGTATTACGTCAAAATAACTTCAGCCAATGACAATGCAGTATTGTTGTCACATGGTACAGACGGAAATCATATGACCAGTACACTGCACTGCCGTTGGCTGAAGTACTGGTGAAGGTATACGGACAATATGAATTAAAGGTAATAATATTATCAATTATATTTATAAAAAAATGCAAAATCAAAATTAAATAATTATAACAACAGCAAACCTGAGATTTTCAGGTTGCTGTGAGATATTCAAATTGGGATGGATCTGTTCGTTTTTAAAACGACGCAGAAAACATTAAAACGAAATGATCGTTCTCAAAACTATTGTTTTTCTTTTTAAAAATTGATAGTTTTTCATTTTTTAAAAAATCAATCATTTTTTTTTTGTTTTTTGAAAATTCAAAATAAGTGGTTCGTTTTCAAAAACGATCGTTTAAAGAAAAAATAAAATAAAAACGAAAAACTATAGTTTTTTTGATCGTTTTTAAAAACGATTAACAACCCTATACTCAAGGTGAAAAGGTAAAAAGGACATCGTCACGAATCTACCGTTCAATTCTTTGTACGATTACGTCTGCACAGTCCCATTAAGTTAATTTCTATCAACTGATTTTTCTTTCGATAAGATATATGAAAATAGTGGGAAACGATTAATTGTGTGTGCATTGTACGGACAGGATAATAACATTAGCTTTTTGGTAATATATCAAAAGTTTAACATCGATATATTTAAAATGTTTACACAATTCTATTTGAAAAAAAGGATTTAAGTTTTTCAACCTATTTTTCCTGAAAAATCTTAAAAAACACATATTGCAAATATGCAAATAGTCAACATTTGCATAACATGAATTTTAAAGATATATTACCTGAATTCACTTGCACTGAACTGAGAGATAGTTTTAGGCTTTTACAAAGTGCACCTAGGATAATTATGATAAAGTGTACAAAAAATATTTAAAACATAAGAATAACACAAAATAGTGATAATGCTATTTATTTTAATGATGAATATATAAGTAAAATAATAATGACGATAATAATAATAATAATAATAATGAAATGAATAAGAATCATATTAATANCGAATAAATAAATCATATTAATAATAATAATAAAAACAATTATAAGATTTTATCCATATATAATAATTATGAAAATCATAAATCACCGATTCTTACAATAATTATGATGATATTATTATCATTAAGGAAAGATTATATGTAAAAAAATGATAATAATGAAAAAAATGATAATTGGCAGATTTACCTATCATTATTCTGGAGAATTCTGTCTCAGTCATGTTTGGTGGTACAATTGATAAACTCTGAACAAGGGGAAATTCAAAATATTTTTTTGCTTTAAAAAAGGTTATTTAAGTTTTCCATGATATTCAAATCGAAGAGCTGGTTTTTCCAACTAACCAACTAACCAACTAACCAACTAACCAACTAACCAACTAACCAACTAACCAACTAACCAACTAACCAACTAACCAACTAACCAACTAACCAACTAACCAACTAACCAACTAACTCATTTCACGTTTACATCCTGAATGCTATTTTCTAAAGATTTTGCAGTAAGGTTAGACAGTTATTTTTAACATATAAATCTTCTTTTAAATAAACATTTTAGACACAAAATGAGCCTTTATTATAAAAGGTAATTAATTGTTTTCTAGATGTTTTACGATTTCAAAGTTTTCTTTTTAAATATCGGACAAAGGTCTAATTCTTATTAAACCTTGTAAACCTATCGTTTTGTCTTGAACCTTACTAACTATTTAGATTACTATATGCTATAACTCACTTCTAGATGTAAAACTCTTTTCGCACAATCTTAAACCCCTCGTAAAATCTTCATAGCATCTCTTGAACATTTTTACCGAGCTACTAGCTATAAAGTTATAGCTAATATAAATTTTTGTAAAACAATTGCTTTTTCGTATATAGTAACTCTGTTAATAATTACATGTAAATTTTGTTAACCGAAATAACCTTACGAAAATAAAAAATATTTAGTTTTAAAATTTTTTTTTATTAATTTCCTCAGCCTAACCTTAAACTGCACCAACAAAATATCATGATACTTGGTTGGTTTACTACTTTTTAAACAGAATGTCATGATACTTGGTTGGTTAACTACTTTTTAAACAGAATATCATGATACTTGGTTGATTTACTACTTTTTAAACAGAATATCATGATACTTGGTTAGTTTACTACTTTTTAAACAGAATATTATGATACTTGGTTGGTTTAATACTTTTTATACAGAATATCATGATACTTGGTTGGTTTACTACTTTTTAAACAGAATATCATGATACTTGGTTGGTTTACTACTTTTTAAACACATTTTATTGGATAAATATTACCAATAAAGAAATAAAATAAAACAGTGTTTGCAGTAAAAAATATGCCAAAGAAAAATATTTGTCACTTTCCAGGATTGTGATACTATTTTCAGACTTTGCGTGGAAACTGAAATATTAATTTAGGTTTGGAATACGCAATAGATTCAAGTATACGATAAGTGGCGACATAGAAATGGATCAATTATGCACGACGTAAAAAGTGTCGAATGTAACGAATGTAACAAGGAAAACGAAATTTTCAGTCATTAGTTGACATGTTTTCCGAGATTAAATACAAAATTGTAAACACAGAAAATAAAGAACACATAAAATTGCACTTATTTTACTGTAAGATACTATTGTGATAATTTTGGTCGGAAACAAAAACTGAATTGACACTTGTGACGTAAGAATACAACTGTACTGAGAGTGCTTAAATTCTTCGTTGCTATCTATTGTACTATAATCTATTTGGGAATAAGTTATCTAAAACTGTGTAATATGGACTTTCTCCTTGATAGTGATCTAATTAACCCTATGAAGGCTGGGTGGTCTGAATCTATGTTTAGACTGGGGGGGGGGGCGTTGGGGGGACGTCCCTTGCCCCCGTCCGCGAAAAAGTCTTTAGAGAATTGGTTTAGGGTTGAAATGCGTGTCCATAACCCAATTTTTCAAGGCCAGCTCATTGAAAAAAAATAGATCGGTAACTTTTATAGTTTTGGTGCTAGGGAGGGTTGTAAAAAATGCCAAAATAGGTCGAAAAATGTAAAAATATTTTTTTTGTTTAAAACAAATATTAATTTTTCAAAATCAAAATCAACATTTATTTTTCCGGACTTTTTACCGCCCTATACGCTACCCTATGCAGTTAAAAAAAAATTTACAAAAAAAACCTTTAAATTTCTATTTGTTAAAAGAATAAAAGTTTTACGGTGATTGTGTCAAAAATGAGAAAGCTAGGGTAAAAAAAAGAATGGGGGGGGGTGTCTAACGTCTCCCCCAGTCTGTTTAGGGTTAAATAAATGTGATATATCAATGAGTTTTATCGATAATCACCTTGAATAAATACCATATACACTTGTTTGGCTGAAAAAGATCATATATTTTGATATTTTCCTTTAATCCGGTTACAGGATGCTCAGCATTATTTTGACTCACATCCACCCTTTCATCTTCATATTGAATCTCTTCACTTATCATTGGCTCATCAACCTCTATCGAGCTAGCATGGTTGTTTGCTGATATTTCGTGGATTTCGTCCGATTTCGCTGATTTGGTTGACATTGATTGTTTAACAGTTTTCGTTCCCCTTTTAGAATTGGATGTAGAAGTTTGAACTGAAGGGTTTGATAGAATAGTATTTGATGGTGTAGTTTGAACCCAAGGGTTTGAAGGGATATCATTTGACGGTGTAGTTTGAACCCAAGAGTTTGACGGGATATCATTTGACGGTGCAGTTTGAACTGAAGGGTTTGAAGGGATATCATTTGATGGTGTAGTTTGAACCCTAGGGTTTGAAGGGACATAATTTGATGATGATGTAGTTTCAACTGAAGCATTAGAGGAAGGTTGGAGTGGTTGAATTAGAATTGGCGAGGAGGGGGGTAAGGATCGAGTAGTAGTTGTTGATAATTGTAGTCCAGATAGCTTCAGTTTTGGATTGAGTTGGGGAGGTTTTGAACTAGAAAGCTCAAGGTTTGGATAAGGTTTTGAACCAGCTTGTTCCAGTTCAGGATGAGATTTAGAACTGTTTCGTTCCAGTTTAGAATTAGATCTTGAACTGGATAATTCCAGTTGTGGATTAGGTTTTGAACTGGTCTGTTCCTGTTTAGAATGAGATCTTGAACTGGAATTTTCCAGTTGTGGATGAAGTTTTAAACCAGTTCGTTCCATTTGTAGATGAGGTCTTGAACCGGATATTTCCAGTTGTGGATTAGGTTTTGAACCGGATATTTCCAGTTGTGGATGAGGTTTTGAACCAGGTTGATGAGGACTTGAACCGGATAATTCCAGTTGTGGATGATGTTTTAAACCGGATTTTTCCAGTTTTGGATCAGGTTTCTGCTCTTTATGGATAGAGATTCTGCTAGCTGTAAGATCTGGATAGTTGTATACGTCTAGGGTTTCAGGGAAAGGGTTGGATTCATCCGTTTCCGGTTTTCCGGGCTCAAGAGAACTAGTAAGAATTACCAGGTACCAGGCACTGAAAAAAAAACAAGATTGCCAATTTTATCCTCCACTAAATCCCACTATTTCTTCGGCCAATGTACTGCAACTCACTGCAGTGCACACTAAAAGCTTAGGTGAGCGTGATATGGGAAATAACCAAAGAGAATAGAATATATAGAGAGGAATTTACTGGGAAAAAGTGTAAAACGGCCATTTTGTTGTACTGTTTCCATTCTGCAGGTGTAATTCACATATTTATGCTATATAACCTTTTGGGCCCTGGAATATCATTTTACAGAAAATCTAAAATTATTATTAAAAGAAAACCAAATTATGGAATAGGCTGGTTTCATAATTTACCAATGATCATTTCACATAGACTCTATGCCTTCCACTTTACAAACGATGATTTTCCGTTATAACTATAAATCAAATGATGTTTTTATTCACCAAATTCATTATAAAGTTTATTTAACAGTTTAAAAAATTCGAAATTGAAATGGATAGTCTAGGGAACATACTGTATTAATGTACTCTACTGCATATAATTTGTGAACATTTACATGATTTGTATACTTTGAACTCCCTTTCAGGCTGAAAGGGACTGAAAAAATTCATACCGAGAGATTCTTTTAATTCCTCTCTATATATTCTATTCTCTATGGAAACAACCTGATAACACACCAAGAGCAACAAATGTATAATTCCTTCCTCTTTAACCTCTGATGACGTAAATTCTTCATATAAGTAGCTTAACCCTATTTAGCCTGACGTCTGGTTTACTGACTGGCTGCCCCTCTATTTTCCTATTTTGATACAAATCTATAACGTTTGATTCGTTTTTGGAAAGCCCTTGGGCTCTACCTCAATAATCTGCATAAAAAATGGCAAATCAAATATTTATTGCGAAATCTAGTTACTAAGCAAAAAAGCCTAAATCCTAAATCCTAAAACCTAAATATGTATTCAAATAAAATTGAAAATGTATAAATTCCCCCTTAAATGCATAAGTGCAAAAATCTGTCCAAATTTCTTTGCAAAAATTATGCAATCTGCTTCCTTTTGTTTTAGGCTTTTCAAAGAGCTATAAAATGTTGAAATCAAATGACTGGAAGTATGACAAAATATAAATTTAGTCTGGTTTAGGTAAACTAAGGCATTTAGGCAGTATGCCTGAGGACTCAGGCAGTAGGTATAAAAGCCTAGCTTTTAGCCTTAAGTGAGGGGCATGTGTAAGTTAGAAAAGCCAGAAAATTTGAGATTGACCCCCCCCCCCAGGCCAAATAGGGTTAAAGAAAATAATTCAAACTTTGAGTATTTGACCTAGTATTAGTTGCAAATATTTGCTATTTGCAATTTTAAGGATTTTGATTTTAGAGTTTAAGCTGTATATATCTCTGTATATTGTTTTAAATGTTTACACTGTACTGTATATACAACGTTTCTCAGATTTAATCATACAGCCCCTGACTGTACTAGCTCTACCCAGAGATAAGAGAGTTACAGAGATCGATTAACACCTATGATATATGATATTCTACAGCATGTTCTATTGTGTACAAGTACTGTACACGACCAATCAGGAGACATCTGTATTCAGGGATATTTAAGGATCCTTTGAATAGGAAATGCAAAATCTTTAAAAATAAAATATTCATAAACATTATGTTTTATGTTGAAAATTGGAGTATTTCTGTAAAAGTTGTAAAATCTAACCCCTAAATGCAATAAGTGGCCGTGAGATGTCAGTCTAGAAATGGAACTCTCTAGTTGCCATATGTAAGTACGGATATAACTTGTACATTACCTGTACGTAAACTCTCTAGTTGCCATGTGTAAGTACGGATGATGGAAAGCGAATGGATCAATGGGAAGAATAGACATCTCCTAAACAAAATACGAATAAATAAGAAGATCGAGGATTTCTGAGTCGGATTCACCAGTGCTGCAGGAAATCAATTGTATTGTGGATATTGAGATCAATGCTTGATATAGAGTTCTTGTAAATCTGATTAGTCTGATCTTAATTCAATATCCAGCATGGTAATCGTACGCACTGGCCCAGTCAAGGGTTGAAGGGAGCTTTGTTCAGGGATGAATTAGTCACTAGAATGGAAAATATGAAAAGGTTTAATTTTTATCATCAAATTAAAAGTGCCTATAGTGGATAGTGGATAGGTCGGTTAGAATACTATCAAAACGTTCGATGTAAAACGAAGTACACATAGATAACTTAACATAATTGCATGAACTGACTTTTCAGCTTATTTGCTTTGTATATCTTTTAAATATTCTGAAAGTTGCTGTTCAAATAAAAAGTTAAACTAATATATTGGATATTAATTTAATCAATTATGTTTAATACTATTATCCCATATTTGATGAGATGCTAAGGAAATTGAGTCTTTGCCAAAAACTGTTTTTTTCTATCCCCATATTTTTGCAACTTAATGTTGTAGATTTTAGATATTTCTAGATCAAATAATCTAAGATTGAAATATACAAAGGTTTACACCATCAGGTTGCAACAATATAGGGATAAGAACATTTGAGTTTGTGGCAAGACTTATTTCCTTTATAGTTACAAGTTTTTGATGCAGAAAAACCAAACTCTATACTAAATAGTTAAGAAATGAGTTTAATTTCTCTTTTTATATACGTTATTCCTATAAAGGCTGAGGCATCTGAATTTATGTAGAACCTTTAAGGTAAAGGTATGGACTGGAGTTACAATACATGATCAAAGCCAAACAATTCGAGGACAGAGTGGAAAAATGTAAAATTAAATTATTTAGTTTTTGACAAAAAAAAGTTAAAGCACCAGCCATTTAGAGTTTAAGTAGACTGCATCATAACATTGTATTCTTTTTATTTCAAATGGATTTTGAAATGAGATCCAAGAAAACGAAGAGCAGAAACCAATTGCAACGCAATTTTCTCGTCTCTTTTCACTGTCATAAACATTTTGAAAGAAAATGCAACTTAACATTTTGTAAAAATCTGTCTTTCTTTATCATTAGTTTGGTTGGCAAAACTAGTGTTTTCTCTTAAACTGAAACAGAAGTTTGAAGGATTTCAAATCTTTTTTTAGAAATGCTTAGTCAGGTACTAGGAGTATTGAATACAAAATGCAAAGACATGTTAAACATTTTTTTTGATATTAGTGAAATGAATCAAATTATATTGTTGTAGTAAAACATAATCAAATTCTGATTCTTTTAGACGTAATTTGTAGGGTGACTTTTGTTAAATGATGTACACTGTACATTGTACAGTNTCAAATTCTGATTCTTTTAGACGTAATTTGTAGGGTGACTTTTGTATACATAGTAAATTTGTGATTTGTACAGTGTACACTGTACAATACATTGTACAGTGTACACTGTACAACGTACACAGTGTACACAGTGTACACTGTACAATGTACAGTGTACATCATTTAACAAAAGTCACCCTACAAATTACGTCTACATTGTACACTGTACATTGTACAGTGTACACTGTACAATGTACAGTGTACGCTGTACAGCGTACACTGTACACTGTACAATGTACAGTGTACACTGTACATTGTACAGTGTACACTGTACAATGTACAGTGTACATCATTTAACAAAAGTCACCCTACAAATTACGTCTACATTGTACAGTGTACAATTGTACAATGTACAGTGTACACTGTACAATGTACAGTGTACTTCATTTAATAAAAGTCACCCTACAAATTACGTCTACATTGTACACTGTACATTGTACAGTGTACACTGTACAATGTACAGTGTACACTGTACAATGTACAGTGTATGCTGTACAGCGTACACTGTACACTGTACAATGTACAGTGTGCATCATTTAACAAAAGTCACCCTACAAATTACGTCTACATTGTACACTGTACACTGTACAGCGTACACTGTACACTGTACAATGTACAGTGTACACTGTACAGCGTACACTGTACAGTGTACAGGTGCCCACAAAGGACGAGACAACTGAGTCGACTTACAAAATTTATATTATCTGTTTCCTAATATTAAGGATTCTTTCCAACTGTAAACTGTAAAATTGGATATTACAAAACATTGTTTTGTCATAAAAAAAGGCTTAGTTGGGTTTTTTTGGGAGTGGGGTTGTGAGGGTGTGTGAGTTTAGCCATAAATATATTTTAGAAATTTAGCAGATTATACATACTTGAAAGAACCTTAGTTTTATCCCGGAATTTTATAAGTTTAATAAAAGCAATTTCAGCGGGACTTCCTTCCATAAATTCCAAGAGAATACATTTTTACAGATTTTATAGGAGAGGGGTGGTTGTGGGGGGATAAGGAAAGAGATGAGTTTTTTTTCAAAAAAAATAGGCTTTCAGGGCATTGAAATGTTGCTTTTCAAGACATTTTCTCTTTGTAATTGTAAACTAACAGAATTTCAGATTTTTCTTCAGTAAACAATGATAGATTTCTAAAATAAAAAAATTATCATTTTTTTCTGGCAAAATATATCAGCGTTCGTAAACCTTTCTTGAGTTCAGTTAGGCGATTTTACCAATACAATGGAGACGACTTCCGATTTCATTTTTAATTTATATAAAGCTGTTTAACAGCGCGCATGGATACACATAAACTGAGATGTCAAGAAAAGCTGTTAATTAATAAAGCTTCTCTTTTATTTCTTGAAAACTTATAATTCGAAAAACGCGTACACCCAGTCAAGCAAAAACTAATAAATAGATTGAATTATTATGGTTTCAGATAGTTAAATCCGGTTTAATGCACTTTTATTTAGATATATATAGAATATAAATATTTTACCCTGCTTTCATATAAAATTTCTTAATGATACAAAATAAAAATGAAAACTTATACAGATATATATTTTGATATTTTTCATTAACTCTAATCAGTTTTTAGTTGGGTAAGCAGTAAAGTAAGCAGTATAAGAACCACTAATGATTCTCTTTCAGAGCTGTATTATTTTCATTACGGTTCTGATTCATCGGATAAAGCTAGAAATAAACTGAATCAGCTAAATCTACAAAGGCTGATTCATATATGTATAGATCTAAAAGATTACAAAAAATCAGTATTATGAAGATTGCAACGCATAAAACATCATGTTGATACAATTAAAATTTAATTATGTGTTGAAGACCTCTTTCATATCTAAAAATATACTTTTCTAGTCTATCTGTGTCTTTTTAATCCAATAAACGAAAAAAACGCCTGAACCGATCCAGCCAACATGGCAACTTATAAACCTTTCCAAAAATATAGTCAAGAAAAATATTGACATTTATTAATTTTTAAAATGTTTTTAAACAGACCTACAAATCCTAGCATATGAATATTTATATACATATCCAAAATAAACTCTCCAATTAATTCATAAAATCTACTTTTTCATACATAAGGTTCAAAATGCTGCTTTAAAAATATAATTTTGAATACTTTGTCTTTAACCCTATTCCGATCTGGCTATGTTTGTTTCATACATATAGAAAAATATGTATAGAAAAAAGTATAATGATACCTTATAAATATTGGTTTTGAATAAAAGATGGGTAAAGTATCTTTGATTTCAGTTTCTCTAGCTGAACATTGATTATTTTCAACAATGGATTTTCTTAGAAACTGACTTGCGGATTTCATCAAAGATAATGAAGGAAATCGTTAAAATTTAGCACTTTCAAAAGGAAAATTGCCTTAGTATTTCCTGGATAACCTGGCCTTTTGATTTACTTTACAAACTCGGTCTTATTTTCTTTGTAGCCCACACATATTATAGGCTGAGTGTTTCGCCAAATGCCAACAAATTTCCGCATGGAAGCGTGTAAATTTTGTAAATGCCTGTGTATAAAAGTTTTATTTATTTCTTTTCGTGAAGCTACAAGAGGGGGGGGGGGAGGTCAGTTCAGAGATGCCATGAGCCCAACAAAATTAACTCCGGAGCCTCCTTATACGTGCAGTATCACCTCCAAGCCCCGGAAAACCGTCGATGACTTGAAGGTCATTCTGCTTATCATGAGGCTCCGAAGGTCATATCGAGGGGCTGAGTGGCCCTGCACCCCCTCCCTCGCTACAGTGTGCCAAGAAGCTTCTTTATATTTTGGACAGGAATCCGGTAATCATTGCCAACAAGAAGAGATTATTCATTCCGAAGAATCCCGAATGGAGGGGGTTGGGGGGGGGAGTATATAAAATTAAAAATGGTAATGCTTTTGCCAATAAAGAAAAAAGTGCATCTGTTTTTTTATTTATAGAAAAAAAGATACCTTTTCTGTTTAAAAATTTTAAATGTAGAAAACCATAACACAATAACTTGAACAATAAAATGGAATAAAAAGGATATGTCATCTCTTATAAAGAGAGCCTAACCATGAACATTCACAAAAAAGCATCCTAAGAAAATGTGAATTCAAATATTTGCATTTCAAAGTGGAATTTCTAAACATGTGTGAAGAATCAACATTAACAATAAAGAAGGAGAAATAGAAAAATAATAAAGTAATTTTCATTCTTTGTTTTATTCAAAAATACCAGGGACCGTAGGAGTATTTCAAGTGACTCTCCTGTCTCCAATGCATATCAGAATTACAAGGACACCTATAAACCAATGTTTAACCAGCTATCTCTGCTGGGGTACTTGAAAACCAGGATATGCTGGGGGGGGGGGTCAATTTGACCCCCCCCTCTAAATCCCATGTTTGATGTCTAAATATGGCAAATGATAAATCACTGGAAAGCTCTTGTGCTCTACTTCTAGAATCCGCCAAAAAATTTGCAAAATTTTAAATAATCTGATTTTTAATCAAGAAAAACTAAAAATGTGAAAATTTCCTTTAACAGGTTGTTTGCAAAAAAAATTTCGCAAAACTTGTGCAATTCGTTTCC